GTCTAGGCCCGAAACGTCAGCCTTTCCGCTCCTATGATGCTGCTTAGCCTGCTGTGTTCATCCAGCTCTGCACCTTGTTGTCAAGGGAGGACACTAGCCTGGATGATGTTGAATCTGTATGGGTGCAGCTGTAGAACATCAAGAAGCCAAGTGAGTTGTGTACAGACCACTAAGCAGTAGTTGTGAGCTGGGATTTGTCTCAAACAGGAAATTAGAGATGCATGCAATAAAGTTACAGCCATTATTATGGGTGACTTCAATCTACATATTGATTGGACTAAGCATACCGGTAGCAATGCAATGAAAGAGGATTTCCTGGAATGTATGAGGGATGTTTTCTGACTAGTGAGTAAGCCATCCTAGATTGGGTACTGTGTAATGAGAGGATTAATTAGCAACACGTAGTACGAGAGCCTTTAGGGAAGAGTGACCATAATATGGTTGAATTCTGTTTTCAGTCTTGATGAAGAATTCTGTCTGAAACTAGGGTCTTGAACTTAAAGAAAGCTAACTTTAATGAAATGAGGCATGCATTAATTAGGATAAGCTGGCCAAGGATACTTAAGGGATTGACAGTGGATGAGCAATGACAGACATTCAACAAATGGTTGAACTTCAACAATTGTACATCCCTATCTGGCATAAAACTAAAACAGGGAAGGTGGCTCAACCATGGCTAACAAGGGAAATCGGGGACCATGCTAAAGCCAAAGAGGAGGCACATAAATTGGCCTGAAAAAGCAATAAACCTGAGGACTAGAAGGAAATTTAAAATTCAGCAAAGGAGGATAAAGGGTTGAATATAAAAGTAAGCTTTTTGGAAAGCATAAAAACTGACTGCAAAAGCTTCTATAGATATGTGAAGAGAAAAAGACTGGTGAAGACAAGTGTAGGTCCCTTGCAGTTAGAATCAGGTGAATCCACAATGGACAACAAAGGTGATAAACCAGTTGAACAAGTATTTTTGGATCAGCCTTCAATAAGGAAGTCACAAATAACCTTCAGGATATGCTAGGGGGACAGGGTCAAGCATGAAGGCAGAACCGAAGGAAATTGTTATTAGTCAGGAAATGGTTTTGGGGAAATTAATGGGATTAAAACCCTATAAGTCCCCAAGGCCTCATGCTCTGCATCCCAGAGCACTTCAAGAAATGGTCCTAGAAACAGTGGACGCCCTTGGTGATTGTTTTCCAGCATTCTGTAGATTCTGGAAGAGTTCCAGTGGAATGGAGGTAGCTAATATAACACCACTCCTTTTAAAAAAAGGAGAGAGAAAATGGGGAATGACAGGCTGGTTCGCCTGATATCAGTGGTAAGGAAAACTGAAGTCAGTTATCAAGGATGCAATAACTGAGCATTTGGAAAGTGGTGACAGAATCGATCCTAGTCAGCATGGATTCACTAAAGGGAAATCATGCTTGACAAATCTTGTTGAATTTTTTGAGGATGTGACCAATAGAGTGGACAAAGGTGAATCAATAGATGTTGTGTATTGGAACTTTCAAAAGGCTTTTGACAAGGTTCCACACGAGATTAGTAAGGAAAATTAAAGCTCGTGGTATCGGAAGTAACGTGTTGACATGGATAGAGAACTATTTGCAGACTGGAAGCAGAGAGTTGGAATTAACAGGTCCTTTTCAGAGTGGCACGCAATGACAAGTGGGGTGTTGAAGAGTTCAGTGCTGGGACCCCAGCTGTTCACAATATACAATAATGATTTGGATGTTGCAATTGAATGCCATATGTCCAAATTTGCAGATGACACTAAGCTGGATGGCAGTGTGTGTTGTGTGGAAAATAAGAGGCTGCAGGATGATTTAGACGGACTGGCTGAGTGGCCAAATACTTGGCCAATGCAGTATAGTGTAGATAACTGTGAGGTTATCCACTTTGGTCACAGAAACAAGAAGGCAGATTATCTGACTGGTGCTAGCTTAGGAAAAGGAGAGATGCAATGAGACCTGGGTGTCATGGTGGAAGGCATGGAGGTACAGCAGGCGAGGAGGAAAACTAATGGCATACTGGCCTTGATAGTGAGAAGATTTGAATATTGGAGTAAGGGTGTCTTCGTTGCAGTTATACAGGGCCTTGGCGAGGCTACACCTTGAGTATTGTGTGCAGTTTGGGCTTCCTAGTCTGAGGAAGGATATTTTTGGCATTGAGGGAACGTTCACCAGACTAATCCCAGGATGGCAGCACCGGCATATGAGGAAAGACTGCATCAACTGGGCTTGCACTGGCTGGAATTTAGAAGAATGAGGCAGGATCTCAAACATGTAAAGTCCTGACTGGACTAGATAGGCTTAATGCGGAAAAAATGTTCTCTATTTTGGGGAAGCCCACAACTAGGGGTCACCGTCTAAGAATGAGGGTTAGGCTGTTCAGGACTGAGGAGGAAGAATTTCTTCACTCAGTTGTGAACCTGTGGAATTTTCTCCTGCAGGAAGCTGTTGGGGCCAGTTCATTAGGTATATTCAAGAGGGAGCTGGACCTGGCCCTTGGGGCTAAAGGGATCAAGGGAGTATGGGGAGAAAGTGGGAAAGGGATACTGAGATTGCATGATCAGCCATGATCATATTGAGTGGTGGTGCAGGCTTGAAGGGCCAAATGGCCTACTCCTGCACCTGTTTTCAAAGTTTCTATGAAATTATCACATACAAGAAATCAAAGAAAAACAGACAATTCATTGTTCAGTAGTTCAAGCAATATGTGTGGCAAAGCAGAAGTCAGGTAGTCAACGTTTCCTGTCTTGACTTTTCTTGTATAACAAACGGTTTCTAAATGGGAGAAAATTCAGAAGTCTGAAGTACAAAGGGACTTGAGAGTCCTAGTTCAAGATCCTGTTAAGGTAAATTTGCAGGTGGAGTTGGTAGTCATAAAGGCAAATACAATGTTAGCATCTATTTCAAGAGGACTAGAATGTAAAAGCAGGGATGTACTTCTGTGGCTTTGTAAGGCTCTGGTCAGACCATGTTTAGAGTATTGTGAGCAATTTTGGGACCCATATCTCCGGAATAATGTACTGGCCCTGGACAAGGTCCAGAGGAGGTTCATGAGAATGATCCCGAGAATGATCCCAGGAATGAAAGACTTAACATTCAAGGAGGAAACTTTGAGGACTCTAGGTCTATACTTGATGGAATTGAGAAGGATGAGGGGTGATTTAATTGAAACTTACTGAATACTGAATGGCCTCGAACAGAGTGGATGTTGGGAAAATCTTTCCATTAGCAGGAAAGACCAGGATCTGAGGGCACAGTCTTCCAGTAAAGAGAAGACCCTTTAGAACAGAGATGAGGAGAAACATCTTCAGCCAGAGAATAGTGAATCTATGGAATTCATTGCCACAAAAGGCTATGGAGGCCAGGTCATTGAGTATATTTAAGACAGGTAAGTTCTTGATTGTCAGGGGGACCAGGGGTTATGGGAAGAAAGCAGGAGAGTGGGGTTGCGAAACTTATCAACCGTGCTTGAATGGCGGAGCAGACTCGATGGGCTAAATGGCCTAATTTCTGCTCGACTGTCTTATGGTTTTACAAGTGTTGCTCCTGTTGCTGTAGCCAGCTTGTCAGCTACACCAGTGGGCTGGCTTGATAGGCATTTGTATTTGCTAAATTGGAAACAATTTTATCTATAGCTCAGATATGAGTAGTTGCAGTCCGTGACTGAACAACTGACAATACATAGAATTATTTTGCATGCTGAAGTTTTATATTTCAGTTGGTGATGACTTACTTGCATTTCTTTGCTTTGTTCACCTCAAAACAAAGTTCTCTGATTTAGGACTCAAAATTACTCCTGTGTAGTAGTTAGATTGGTTGGGTTTCTTGCATTTAATACTGACCAATCTCTTACTGTTATAGTGAATATTGGTACAGAATTTAAAACTTATTGCGTATGTTAATATGCCGCAACATAGTCTGTACTCACTTTTTTGTATGACTGCTGAAAATATTCTTGCACATATCTATGTTGCTTTCATCCTCTGTTCACTTGGGCAAATTTTGGGTTTTTTCTTCCATTTTTGCTTATTTTGATCTTGGTTGTCCTCCTCCTGTGATATAGCTGTCCAATTTCCAAACAAAGAAATTGAGATCTTATAAATAATCCCTACAACTTTGTCTTGATGTTCACTTTCAGCCCTTAACCCTAGAACAAAATGAATGATAAAAACAATCCTTGCGTTTATTGAGTACTTCAAAATACTGGTATAGAGTAATATGGTAAAGATTAAAACGGATTCATTGAAGATTTTGTTTGGTTTCTGCTCGGGAGATTCACCAGTATGTTACCTATGCTGGGTAGAGTAAAGTTGTTTTCTTTAGAGTACAGAAGGCTGAGGTGTGACCAGATTGAAATGTACAAAATTGAGGGGTGTAGATTGGAAGAAATATTTCCCCTTAAGGTAGTTAATAACCAGGGGCCGCAGATTTAAGTTAAGGGGCAAGGGATTTGGAGAGGATTCAAGGAATTTTTTTTCTCAGAGGGTGCTGGGTATCTGTAACTCGCTGCCTGAAAGCGTGATAGAGATGAGGCCATTGCAATATTAACATGTTTAGATGGTTACTTGAAATGCCTTAGCAACCAAAGCAATAAGCCAAGTGTTGGAAAATTGGACTAAAATAGATGCTTAATGATTGTCATGGACACAATGGGCTGGAGGGTCTCTTTTCTCCTGTGAAACTTGGACTCAACCACTTCAAAATAGGAAACAGAAGAAAGATTTTTTTTTTTTTTTTTTTTTGAAGGCAAATTTCTGATTGGCTTGCAATGCTTATGGAATTAAACACAACCGTCTGCTGCAAATGCTTTTTTGAAACTTGTAACATGAATTGCAAAATCAAACTTTATTATCTTTTTGCATGAACAGCCCTTTTTTAAAGAAAGAAATGCCACATGGAGAAATTGAGTATCTGTGCAATCCACGGCCATGAGTTGGGAATCATTATCTTCATCTTACTAACAGCTTCTTTATCTCAGCTTTTATAAAGTTCAACATGTTTAGTTCTCAATTTATACAAGTCAGATTCATCACCAAAATGATAATGATAGATGGGACACCATGCAAAAATATGAAATAAATTTTTAACTGTATCCAATATTTAATCATCTGAAAGGAAATTTTATACACCAAATGACATGGTATTCTTTTAGAAAAGGGAAATAAAGAAGTCATTCACTTCCCAGCTGATCCAGATAACTGTCATGTGCTGGAACACTGACTGACTGTTACAATGGTTTTGCTAATCAAAATATCTTTTTCCAGTCCTTAGTGACAAACCCATATCTTTTTAGGGTTATTGATTGCACTGATCATATTGTTTTACTGTCAAATATCTTTGTTTCATCTGCTTCCTAATGAACTATCGTCATTCTTAATTGCATGGAAGTTTCTTTTGTGTTGCAATGTTGTCCATCTCTTCAACTAGACTGCAGTTGTATCATGAATGGATATTGCATCAGTAGCATCTATTGATAGATTCTATTTTTAAAAATCATTCATGCCAATATTCATGTCAGGTCCATTTTACCACATCTCTCCTGCAGTAGAAGAATAAATTCCTCTGAAATAAAATGAAGAACTACAATGCTGAAAATTTGAAACAAACAAACAAATTATTGGAGGAGATAGTAGGAACTGCAGATGCTGGAGAATCTGAGATAAGACAGTGTAGAGCTGGATGAACACAGCAGGCCAAGCAGCATCGGAGGAGAAGGAAGGCTGACATTTCTGGCCTAGACCCTTCATCAGAAATGGGGGAGGGGAAGGGGAAGGGGGTTCTGAAATAAATAGGGAGAGAGGGGGAGGCGGATAGAAGATGGATAGAGGGGAGAGAATAGGTGGAGAGGAAACAAACAGGTCGAAGAGGCGGGGATGGAGCCAGTAAAGGTGAGGAGTTAGGGAGGGGATAGGTCAGTCCAGGGAGGACAGACAGGTCAAGGGGGCGGGATGAGGTTAGTAGGTAGGAGATGGGGGTGCGGCTTGAGGTGGGAGGAGGGGATAGGTGGGAGGAAGAACAGGTTAGGGAGGCGGGGACGAGCTGGGCTGGTTTTGGGATGCGGTAGGGGGAGGGGAGATTTTGAAGCTTGTGAAATCCACATTGATACCATTGGACTGCAGGGTTCCGAAGCGGAATAGGAGTTGCTGTTCCTGCAACCTTCGGGTGGCATCGTTGTGGCACTGCAGGAGGCCCAGGATGGACATGTCATCTGAGGAATGGGAGGGGGAGTTGAAATGGTTCGCGACTGGGAGGTGCGGTTGTTTATTGCAAACCGAGCGTAGGTGTTCTGCAAAACGGTCCCCAAGCCTCCGCTTGGTTTCCCTGATGTAGAGGAGGCCACAACGGGTACAGCGGATGCAGTATACCGCATTGACTCCCACAGCTACCTAGAATACACCTCCTCCCACCCATCTTCCTGCAAAAATGCCATCCCCTATTCCCAATTCCTTCGCCTCTGCTGCATCTGCTCCCAGGATGAGGCATTCCACTCCCGTACGTCTCAGATGTCCTTGTTTTTCAAGGACCGCAACTCTTTTCCTTCCCCCCCCCCCCCCCCCCCCCAGTGGTCGAGAACTTCCTCCACCGTGTCTCCCACATTTCCCGCAACTCATCCCTCACACCCCGTCCCCACAATAACAACCAAAAAAGAATCCCCCTCGTCCTCACATACCACCCCACCAACCTCCGGATCCAACGTATCATCCTCCGACACTTCTGCCAAGTGCAATCCAACCCCACCACCAAAGACATTTTTCCCTCCCCACCCTTATCTGCTTTCCGGAGGGACCACTCTCTCCATGACTCCCTTGTCCGCTCCACACTCCCTTCCAGCCCCACCACACCTGGCACTTTTCCCTGCAACCGCAGGAAGTGCTACACCTGTCCCCACACCTCCTCCCTCACCCCCATCCCAGGCCCCAAGAAAACTTTCCAAAATCAAGCAGATGTTCACCTGCACATCTGCCAATGTGGTATACTGCATCCGCTGTACCCGTTGTGGCCTCCTCTACATCGGGGAAACCAAGCGGAGGCTCGGGGACCACTTTGCAGAACACCTACGCTCGGTTCGCAATAAACAACTGCACCTCCCAGTCACGAACCATTTCAACTCCCCCTCCCATTCCTCAGACAATATGTCCATCCTGGGCCTCCTGCAGTGCCACAATGATGCCACCCGAAGGTTGCCGGAACAGCAACTCCTATTCCGCTTGGGAACCCTGCAGTCCAATGGTATCAATGTGGATTTCACAAGCTTCAAAATCTCCCCTCCCCCTACCACATCCCAAAACCAGTCCAGCTCGTCCCCGCCTCCCTAACCTGTCCTTCCTCCCACCTATCCCCTCCTCCCACCTCAAGCCGCACCCCCATCTCCTACCTACTAACCTCATCCCGCCCCCTTGACCTGTCTGTCCTCCCTGGACTGACCTATCCCCTTCCTAACTCCTCACCTTTACTGGCTCCATCCCCGCCTCTATGACCTGTCTGTTTCCTCTCCACCTATCTTCTCCTCTATTCATCTTCTATCCGCCTCCCCCTCTCTCCCTATTTATTTCAGAACCCCCTTCCCCTCCCCCATTTCTGATGAAGGGCCTAGGCCCGAAATGTCAGCTTTCCTGCTCCTATGATGCTGCTTGGCCTGCTGTGTCCATCCAGCTCCACACCGTGTTATCTCAAATTATTGGAGGAACTCAGCAGGTCTGGCAGCATCTGCGCAGAACAAGCAGAGTTAATGTATTGAGGGTCACTGGATTCAAATGTTAACTCAGTTTCAAACCCTATGAACGTTGGACCACAGAAATTGCATCTTGGACTCTTAATTATGCTGTTTGTAAATTGTGATAATGTACCTCTTAATTATTTAGGATTTGGTGTTGAACTTAGCTTTTTTAATGCATATGCATATGCATAAATAAGTTAAGAATTAATGCATGCACTTTCCCTCCATGCTTGCTTGAATCGTATTTAAGAGAATTTTTCGGCTGCCGGTATTGTAATGCAGCTAAGTCTGAAAGGCCGTTTTAATGCAGGGTTGCAAATTTTAACATTGTTTTTTAATGCTGCCTTTATTACAGACTGAATGCATCATCCTCTGTGTCACAGCGGGATGTACAGACTTTGAAGACTGAACTCAGTAGAGTGACTGTTGAACGGGATAAATTGAAACAAGAGATGTTGGCAAGGGTGTCAGATATTCAAGAAAAGAATAAAACGATCACTCAGGTTAAAAAAATTGGCCGTAGGTACAAGACTCAATATGAGGAGTTGAAGGCTCAATATGATAAGGTAATGTGTACTGAATGCAGGTACTGGAAATTCCAAAGTTAAGTAAAATGCTGGAGATATTCTGGTCAAAACCAATCTAAAAGATTATTGATTTGAAGCTTCAACTAACTGTAACCTGAACATTTGCAGCCTTTCCTGGTCTCTCTCTCTTCTACTTGATGAATGCAAGTATTCTTCCAAACTAAAGATCATAAAAATTTGGAATTTATGATATTGTGTTGTTATAGGTTTTTTTTTTAAAAGTCACGTTTTGATTATGCTGACCATATCACTTCCTGAGCACAGCAGCATGGCAGACAAGTCCAGTGACTAGCTTTGATAATGATCTTTAAAGACACTAAAGCATCAGAAAAATGTTACAAATGAAACAAGCATGTGGGTAAAATACCCAGCTTTGCAACTGGCACAACCTGTATTTCACTCTCCAGGATTAATTATTGGACAATTCAGAACTTTAACTCCAGCTAAAAAAGCCATCAAGTGCTAACATAATCTCAACCTATTCCATTGTTCTTGCCTGATTGATACTGAATCTGACATTGTTCAGTTCCTAGTTCAATGCTTCACTGAGTTTCGAATCCCTTTTTTCTATCCATCACCAAGGTAACTTTTTTTATTAAATGCTGCTGCATTATTTGCTCTGTTTTCTTTTTTTTTTTGAAAGTAAAACGTCAGTGCCCAAATCACTTTCGCCTGGAGGCTTGTTTTCACTGGTGCTATCTTTTAGACCTTTCTTAAGCAACATTCAGTGTGGCAGATGGAGTACAATATTGATAAATGTGAAGTCATCCATTTTGGTAGGAATAATAGTAATAAATTGCAGCATGCTACTTTGCAGAGGGACCTGGGTGTCCTTGTGCATGAATTGCAGAAGGCTGGTTTGCAGGTGCAACAGGAAATGAAGGCAAATAGAATTTTGCCCTTCATTGCTCAAGGGATTGAGATTAAAAGCAGGGAGGTTATGTTACAGCTGTGTAGGGTGCTGGTGAGGTCACACTTATTACGTACAGTTTTGGACTCCTTATTTGAGAAAGGATGTACTGGCACTGGAGGAGGTGCAGAGGATATTCACTAGGTTAATTCTGGAATTGAGGGGCTTGGCTTACTGGGAGAGACTGAGTGGATTGGGATTATATTGGAATTTAGAAGAATGAGGAGGGATCTTATAGGAACATAGAACGTTATGAAGGGAATAGTTAAGATAGAAGCAGGAAGGATGTTTCCACTGCTGGGTGAAACGAGAACAAGAGGGCATAGCCTCAAAATTAGGTGGAGCAGATTTAGGACTAAATTGAGGAAGAACTACTTCACCATCCAAAGGGTTGTGAATATGTGGAATTCCCTGCCCAGTGAAGTAGTTGAGGCTTCCTCATTGAATGTTTTTAAAGCTAAGATGGACAATTTTATTGAACAGTAAAGGAATTAAGGGTAATGGTGAGAGGGTGGGTAAGTGAAGCTGAGGCCTTGAAAAGATCAGCCATCAGCAGCGGGCTTGAAGGGCCAGGTGGCCTGCTCCTGGTCCTTTTTATGTTCTTAAATTCTTATGGACTTCAATTGTGCCAAAATTCATGCTGTGCTCATCCCCTGATCGAGGCTACTTGTTATCTTTTTTGTCTTGAATGGCCTTGTTAGGCACTACTTTCCTCACAGTACAGAATTATAACATTTCATGTTAATCTGTTCCTGGAATTTCCAACTTTGCATGTCAGCTGATGTATTCATTCAGTGTTTGTTTGTTTGTTTGTTTGTTTGTTATCTCTCTGATCCTGCATCAAACCTTTAATGTTTACCCTTCCTAACTTTGCTTCTGTTTGGCCATTCTGAAGCCATTAGGCAGGTTGTTTACAGTAAAAGCATAATTGCTCATTACTATTTTACATGGATCATAATTCAAACTTTTTTCCTTTTGCAGATGGTTGCTGAGACATCCTCTCAACTTACAGCAGACCAACAAGCAGAGCAGTCCTCTTCTCAAGCCACTCAAGAATTGCAAGAAACACTGGCCCAGTCTGAATCTAGAGCAAAGGCACTTGAGTCTCAGGCTGAAGCCTTGCAGAAGGTGAGGTCAACAGAAATTAAATCTTCCAAACTAATAGAAGCTATACTAAATATGAAATGTTCTCTTTTTTCCAATTCTCTCTCTCATCCTTCGTGTAATTAAAACCTGTTTCAGTAGCAAATAATACACAACTTTATAGAACTTTTATGCAACTTGCTAAAGTTTGATTAGTCCTCTGTGGACCCTGGATCCTGTTGACTGGAATGCCTTTTGGTAATCCAGGCCTGTTTCTGTTTTGTCACAAATAATGTACAAGTGCTGGAGCACCTACTCTGCAAGCATTAACAGCCAACACAGCTCAAAATGAAGTTAAATTCATGTCAGATATAAATTGTGCAGCATTTTCCACGGCCACTTTATAATTGCAATGTAAATTGGAAAGGACTTTGTTCCCTTTAAGGAATTATGTCAAAACAACACTCATGTCACCAATGTATTTTCATTGCTTCAACAGTCCAACTTGATTTGTCTATTTTGGTGTAAAGTATATACTGTTTAGCAACAGTCTTTGCCCTATGAATGCCATACAGTCCAGAATTTCAGTGCCCCATTCTCGATGTGGGAGCCCAAACATGAGTGCAGAAACTTGGACTGAAGACTTCATATCCATCTTCAGTCAGAGCTGCCTGGTGGTTGATTCATCTTGATCATCTCCTGAGATTCCTGCAACTGCATGTTGATCTTCAGCCAATTTTATTGACTCTACATCAAAAAAAGTTGAAGGTACTGGATTGGATTTCATTTGATTTATTTATTGTCATTTGTACCTAAGTACAGTGAAAAGCTTTGATTACAAGCAGTACAGGCAGTTCATAGTAAGCAAGAACATACAGATCATAGGTTGGAAAGAAAACTTGGACAGAGGCACACAGGTTACATCACGGGGTATGCATTAGGCAAGATCAGCATTATTTGAAGTTAGCAAGTCCATTCATCTGTCTAATAAAGGTAGTGAAGAAACTGTTCTTGAACCTGCTCGTGCATATGTTCAGGCTTCTGTATATTGTGCCTGACGGAAGAGGTTGTAGGAGAGCATTACTGGAGTGCGATGGGTCTTTTATGTTGGCAGCCTTTCCGTGACCACGAACCGTGTAAGTGAAGTCCCTGGATGGAAGATTGGCTTCTGTGATGCTCTGGGTTATGCACACAACCTTCCATGGTTTCTTACAGTCCTGGGCAGAGCAGTTGCCATTATCAGGTCGTTATGCAACCAGACAGTGTGCTTTCAGTGGTGCATCTCTAAAAGTTGGTGAGGGTCCTTGTAGACATGCCAAATTTCCTGAGCCGCCTGAGGAAGAAGAGACGCTGTGCCTTCTTGACCATCGCATCTATGTGGGAAGTCCAGGAGAGGTTATTGGTTATCGTCACTCCTAGGAACTTGACGCTCCCAACCTTCTCAACCTCAGCTCCATTGATGTAGATGGGGGCGTGTTCTCCTCCCTTCTGAAGTCAGTGATCAGTTCTTCAGTTTTGACGATGTTGAGAGAGAGGCTACTATCATTGCACCATGTCACCAAGCCCTCTATCTCCTTTCTGTATTCTGCCTTGTTGTTTGATATCCGTCCTGCCACGGTGGTGTCGTCAGCAAACTTGTAGATGGCGTTCATTTAGAATTTGGCAACACAGTCATGGGTGTGTAGGGAGTACAGTAGGGGACTGAGGACTCATCATTTGAGGGCTCCATTGTTGTTAGTGTAGAGGATGTGCATTCTTCACTGTGGTCTGTGGGTCAGAAAGCTGAGGATTCAGTTGCAGAGGGCGGAGCTGAGACCCAGGTCTCAGAGTTTGAGATCAGTCTGGAGGGGATAATAGTGTTGAAGGCAGGGCTGTAGTCGATAAGTAGAAGTCTGATGTAGATGCCCTTGTTGTTCAGATATTCCAGGGATGTGTGCAGGGCTAGAGAAGTGACATTCATTGTGGATCTGTCCCGTCGATAGGCAAATTATAAGGGATTGAGACAGGCTGGGAGACCAGAGTTGATGTGGGCCATGACCAGCCTCTCGAAGCACTTCATGATTACGGCAGTCAGAGCCATTGGGCGGTAGTCATTAAGACATGTTGCCAGTCTCTGGTACTAGGATGATGGTGGTCTTGAAGCAATTGAGGATTACGGTTTGTAGGAGGAAGAAGTTGAAGATGTTCGTGCATACCTCCACCAGCTGGTCTGCTTTGCTAGATACAGCAAAGGGCGTGGACACAGCAACATCCTAGCTGTTGTGCTGTAGATGTGAGTTCCAAGAGTGTCTACAACACTGGTACCCACCCAAAAGAGGCTTTGCCCACTAAAGACAATCCACCCCATTAGTCCATTATCATTTGCAAAGTTTTGGTAAGTGGTATGGCAGCATTATCAATAACGGTTACTCACCACTAATATGGTCGATGCTCAGCTTTGGTTCTGCCAGGGCTGCCCTTGACCCTGACTTCACTCCAGCTCTGGCCCCTGATCACCATTCGCTCCTGTCCTGAACCCCCTCCCCTGCCGATGATTGATAGTGGCAGAAACTTGAGTTACCCTTGAAGCCATAGAGAATGGGGGAGAAAAAAGCTTCCACTGGTTCGAATTATACTGAGCATAAAGGATGATGGTTGTGGTTTTTGGAGGCCAATCGTTTTCAATCCCAGGGAGTTCTTCAGCATAGTATCCGAGGCCAAAGCATTTTCAGGTGTTTCATTATGACCTTCCCTTCCCTTTCATTATAAGGTCAGAAAGGAATATTTACTGATTGCTCAGTGGTAAATTGCATTTGCAACACTTCATTACCGCACGCAGGATAACTTCATGTAAAACCTGGTCATTTAGGTTTGAAATCATATTTCAAATCAGCCTGTTTGGAGAGCAAGTTAGAGAATGGGTATTTTCTGTTGGGTAGCTTACCATCTAGGACGAAGCTAACACCCCATATACCACATTGATCACTCACATTGACTTTTAGTAGCACATACCATGTTGATTGTTTTATGTACCTATTTGCTAATGCTGTATTAACTACAGCTCTCAAACCTGTGATCTCTCCTGGAAGCAGGACTACAGCAAGAGTATTGGATTGCCATCACCTCCAATTTCCTCTTCTCACTTATCCTGACTTAAAATTATGATGTTATTTTCCATTTTTACTGTGTCCAACTCCTGGAGCTCCCTTCCTGATAGCACTGAATGGACTGAGTACTTCAAGGATTTGGCTCACCACCATCTCAAATACAGTTGAGGATGTGCATTAAACACCTACATTGTCAACAATGCCCATCTCAGATTCATAAAGTTACACTGACTGTTTGTACTCCTGTTGAACAGGATAAATTCCAGAAAAAGAAGAATACATTTCAGAATTGACGACACACAGATAATTTTAAATGAAGGTACTCTTGGATAAATGCAAGAAAACAGTCTGCAGAAAAGTAAAAGACTTAAGATCCATTTAAAACACCAATATTGAGACACAATAGTTTATAAATCCTTGGACTGCAGTTGGGATATGTGATAGTTCTAGGTTCTGTTATTATTGATAGGGTTTGGAGAGGTGCCCAATTAAGTAAATTGAGCATGTTCTAATTGTTAAACTGATGCTGAAGAGGTGCTATTTAGAATTTTAAAGGAACCTTGCAGTGGACCATAACCAGCACTTTTGTTCAGAGCAATACAACCTGCCCTTGAAAGGAGTTAAATCCAAAGCTAATTCACAAATGTGATGCACCGCTCACTGAAATTTATTTGACACTCTGGAGCAGGGATTATTAACATTTTTCCAATTAAATTAGCATTCTTTGATTGGGTAACTCAGCATTTGATTTGATCGCTGCAGAACGTTTCAGAGCAACTGCCTTTGAACCTAGGATTCCTGAAGTTTTACACGATTTAATGGTTTCCTTGCCTCGTGTCCAAGTCTGTTGTACATATTTTCCAATCAACTTATTCAGAGATTTATTACGCATATCTCTGAAAAAGGTGAGACTTGAACCCAGACCTCCTGGCTCAGAGGTACGGATCTACCACTGCATCACTAGAGGTCCTAGTCATAGTTGTTATATCAAACCAATTGCAGATATAATTTTAATCTGCTTACTCCATGCATCTGGAGCAGTTGGGACTTGAACCTTGGTCTCCTGGCTCAATGGCAGGGGCACTACCAAATGAACCCCAAAATATTTTTAACTGACTAGTCCAGACACATGATTGTGTATCTGAATTAGAGGCATGGGCATTACCACTGATCCAGGAGTCCTCCTAAGTCTCTTATAGACTAATTGACAACAGTGATTCATCACTGACTCCATTACCATTTGACATGAGACATAATAAATATATAAAATAAATACAGATTTATGTGTCTGCATTTTAACCATTCAACCAGAATATCTGAAGGCGGTCTGTCATTAAGTAAGACTTGTGCTTTCAGTAATTTTTTTTTTTATTGTTAGTCCGTTACTGAAAAGGAATCTGAAGCAAAAAAATTGCAAGATGAAGTTTCCCAGTTGCACAGTGAACTTGCCCGCTTGAGACAGGAACTGCAGGATAAAGCAAACCTTGAAGAACAGCTTCGACAGCAGATTCTGGAGAAGGAAGAGAAGACTAAGAAAGCAATATTGGTAGCCAAACAGAAGATAACACAGTTGGCTGGTCAGCTATTTTTATTTTCGCAAATCCTTCACATTAATGACAAAGTATTAAGGAGAAACTGGAATTTAAACTTGTACCCATGATTTTTGCTCTTCAGTTCTGTATATTTCCCATTGTACAAAATCTCCTCACTGAGACCATAAAATATAGGTTTTGATGTAGCCCGTTGAGTCTGTCTGCCATTCAGTGAGATCATAGCTGATGTGTTTCTCAACTCTACTCTCCTGCCTTATCCCGTACCCTTGATTCCCTTACTGATTAAAAAATATCTGTTTTAGTCTCGAATATATATAATGACCCAACCTCAACCATATAGAATTCCACAGATTGATTACCCTCTGAAACAGTGTGGGTGGGGTGATGACCTCTGTTCCTAAACTTTCCCACAAAGAGAACATAAAACTCTCTGCATCTACCTTGCCAAGCCCCCCAAGAATTTAATGTTTCAATAATAATATTTCAGTAATGTCCTCTCTGTCTTTTGTAAACTCCAGTGAATATAAGCCCAGCCTCTCCTCATCAGAAAACCCTTCCATACCAAGAATTCACGTAGTGAGTCATCTCAGGATTGCCTGCAATGCAGTTTTGGTGTTGGATAAAACAGCACAAATTGCTTGCAGTATTCCAGATGTGATCTGACTATTGCTGTCTTTGTTCAAGAATTCTATAAAGTGACTGTCCTCTAAGAAGAAATTCCTCCTCGTCTTTGTTTTAAATGGGCAGCCCCTTATTTTGAGATGATGCCATCTGGTCCTAGACTCTTCCTCAAAGGGAAGCAACCCTCCTGCATTTACCGTGTCAAGTCCCCTAAGAATCTCATATGCAATAACATTGCCTCATTATTATAAACTCCGAGTATAAGCCCAACGCAGTCAACCTGTCCCCATGAAACCGTCTATCCAGACCTAGGGTCAACCTCATGAATCTGTACTAGACTGCTTCCAATACCAGTATATCTTCCCTTTGATAAGGGGCCCAAAACTGTTGAGTATTCCAGGTTTGGTCTGACTAGTGTTACAAATAGTTTTAGCTGCTCCTCACTGTTTGATATCTCGTTTTCTCTTTGCAATAAAGGGCAACTTTCCATCTGCCTTCCCCAATACCCTCTGAACTTGTCCACTGGCTCTCTGTGACTAATGCACAAGGCTTCCAAAATCCCTGTGCTGTAGCTTTCTGCAGTCTTTCTTCTTTTAAATATTATCCAGTTCCTTTTCTTCCTGCCAAAGTGCACAATGTCATATTTTCCCACATTATATTACATCTGCAGTGTTTTTGGCCACTTAACTTGTCTGTGTCCTTCTACAGACTTGACCTATTCTTGTCATCTGCAAATTCAGCTACAAGACATTCACTTTACTTCTCCAAGTCAATAATATATGTTGCAAATAACCATGCCCCTAGCACTGGTCCCTGTGGCACTCTGCTAGTTACAGGTTGCCATCCTGGAAAAGCTCCATTCCTCCCAACTCTGTTTTCTAATAGTTAGCCAATCCTCTCTCCATACTAATATAATAAACCCAACACCATAGGCTCTGAAGTAGTCTTGTATGCAGCACTTTACTGAATGCCTTTTGATAATCCAAATATTTTACATTTATTACTCGTTTATATGTCCTGCTTGTCACCATGATTTTCCCTTAGTGAAATTATGTTATTGATTATTTTGGGTACTGTGGTGTGGAATCATGGATCTTAAATTATGAGGCAACGTACAAAATTTGAAAATTTTAACTGTTAAATCCTAAACTGAAATACCAAATTCAGCTTTTCTTTTTCAAAAGCAAAAAACTGAATTCTACATAATTTTGTGAGTTTTAATGTCCAGTTTGTATTGTTGGTGCCCACTTGAGCTTCTCTGCACTTGCAGATTGAGACTGACCAGATTTAATTCAGGAAGGCACGAACATTTGAATTAACGATGATTAATTTTGATTATTAGTGTATTGCTCTAAGAAGTCTGCGTTTGTTGTTTTTTTTGGTTAAAAGTTGTTTCCTAATGACGCTGTATATAACCTGAGTTGTCGACTAAAAGAAATGCAGGAATGAGTGTCATCTGTTTTAATGCTGTTTCTTTGAATTAAGAACTAAGGTGGTGGGTGATTATTGTTTTAGGATTGAAGGAGCAGTTGGCACAAGAGAATGAACAATTGAAACAGCACAATGAAGAATTTCAACAACGTGTCACTAGTTTAGATCAGCAGAGAGAAGAACTGGAGGTGCGTATGAGTGCACTGAAATCACAGTATGATGGTCACATTGCTCGACTTAAACGGGAGCTGAAGGAGCATCAGGATCGACAACATGAACAGCGTGAAGAACCACAAGAAATAACCAAAGTATGTAATTACATTTTATAGAATATGAAAATTGATGCATTGAGAATTAGAAAATCATGACTATTCAGCTTTTTTACTAAAGTTTTAAATTGGTATGTAAATCTGTTTTATTACAATGCAGTGTTCTGATCTGAAATCTAAGCTTGGCCATATAATTGCTCAGAATATTATGGCAAGGAAATATTAAATTAATGTATAAAATCCTACTTTGTTTGAAACTTCTGATTCATCCATGGAATGTGGTTATCACCAGTTGGGCCAACATTTTTTGCTCCTCCCTAATTGCCAAGAGTGCTTTTAAGTGTCAATTAACATTGCTGTGAGTATGGAGTCACATGCAGACCAGACCAGGTAAGGATGGTATCTTCCTTCCTAAAACGACATTAGTGAGCCAAATAATGGGTTTTTATGACAAATGGCAATGACTTCGTCATCGGCATTTGATTTTTAACTCCAGTTTTAAAAAAGATTAAAATCAAAATCGACCATCTTCTGTCACTAGGCCATTCCCTCAGCATACTTTGATTTCTGCAGTTTTTTTCCCAGCTATCATTATGGCTAAAATCTACTTACGCAAGCATTTTAGTTTTTGATAGCTTGAGTAATATTTCTTGCCTTTAATTTTCCAGTTTTCAAAGAGAACTGAATTCTCTGGACCATTTAATCTCTTTTTATTGGCATATCGTATCAATTCTTTGATTTTTTACAATTAATGCAGATATTACTCTGGGAAAGTGTTTTCTTAAACTGAAATTAAATGGAGAAAATAAGGAAGGTCTGAATGTGTCACTTGTGAGGTTGGTATTTGCATGTGAGAAACTGATTTCAGGAAATAGATAGAGTTTGGATATGCATGCTTAACCCTTTTGCTTTACACAAAGGAGACCTTTGTTTAATATCCTAGCCAAAGGGAAGCACCTATAAGAATGTGTTTCAATCCAAACTATGTGCTGAAACATAAATTTACATGGATCCTAGAAATAAGAATGAGAATAAAATGAATGAGCACTAATGCAGCTAAGCTAGCTGGCATAGAAATTCGAGAGTTGAACATGGCTGCTGTGTTTTTTCTCTCTGTACAGCATGTATGTAATTTTGAGACTGCTTGGGTTGCCAGCTTTAGAGAATTGATGTCTTTTTTTGTGCAAGTTTGTACATGTTTAATTTTGTTAATTGAAAATCTTCTCAAAAGGCTGTGAAAATGTATAGCAAGTCAATAAAAATTTTTGCAGATTCCAGTAAGTTAGCATTTTTAATGGTTAAAGAAATTGTCCAGGGAATGAAGAGGAATTAAAGCATCCTAACGGTGATGAACTTAGTTTGGATGCTTGTTTAGTATTTTTTTGCTTAAGATTGCTTCAGCTGTTGAGTACTGTACAGAAAATGCATTGCTTTCTGCATTTTATATGGCTTACTTATACAGATATTGAAATGTTGTTCACATGAAATATTTCAAATGAAGGTTGATGTATGTGACCCATCTGATTCAGTAATAAGATCTTCGTAATGTAAACAGTTTTCAAAATAACCAAAGTAGCATTAATAACATCAAACAATGGAAAAACTGAGCTTGAGATTGATTTTTCTCCTACGCACCAGGCTTCTGAACCACAGAGACAACTGGATCAACAGAGACAGATAACCCTCAAACAGACTCCAGCATCTGTGGACAGAGGAAGGTAAACATTATTCTCTAACTGTTTAACTAGCTTAATTTTTTTATGTTGTGCATGTCACCAAGTTCTAAAGCTTAATCAGTTAAAGATTTATCTATATAAAAGAGACAGACACCTAAAGAAGCAGTGATTCTCCGAAAGCTTGTGTCTTCAAATAAACCTGTTGGACTGTAACCTGGTGTCATGTGATTTTTGACCTTGTCGACTCCCAGTCCGACACTGGCACCTCCGCATCAAGATTATTAACTTGGCTGTTCAAGGAGAAAAAAATCTATTTTTCAAACTTAATTCCAATGGAGACCACAATGTTCATGATGTCAAAACATTCGATTTGCATTGCCTATTTCCTGCATGCCTAGTCCAATTTATTGCTTGTTAGCCTGCTGCACATTTTTATATAAAAATGAAACCTGTAGGATTTCTAGACTTAAAATCTACATGAATCTATTTTTAAATTCTGCATAGCTTGAGTACATCCGATCCTCCAACAGCCAATATAAAGCCAACTCCTCTTGTGGCAACACCCAGCAAGGTAGCTGCTGGGCCAGTACCAGGCAGTAAATCTACACCAAGAGCCAGCATCCGGCCGATGGTTACCCCTGCAACCGTCACTGGACCAGCTACAACGCCAACAGCTACAGTAATGCCAACAACACAGGTAGAAACTCAAGAAGGTAAGAAACAATTTGCATTATTTTTTTAACTTGACTTGACTTGGTGTTCTATTGGACATTTGAGCAGCGCTGTCCAGTGTGTTTACTGTATTGAGCAATTGTCTTATGTTTATTCAACAGCCATGCAGTCAGAGGGACCAGTTGAGCATGTAACTGTTTTTGGTAGCACAAGTGGAACAGTACGTTCAACAAGTCCAAATATCCCAAATTTGTCACAGCCTATTTTAACTGTGCAACAGCAACAGACACAGGCCACTGCCTTTGTACAACCAACTCAACAGACTCTTCAGGTGGAACCTGCTAATCAGGAGCCATCTTCAAGCATGGTAGATGTCATGCAGAGCTCCCAGGTAGAAAGACCTTCAACCTCCACAGCAGTGTTTGGAACAGGTTAGTTTATTTTGAAGGTTAAGCTGATCATTTTCAATTGAATTTAAATTTTAATTTCAGCCTATACCTCCGGGTTTGTGATTAGTATCAGAAGTTGACTTTTCATCCCTTCGGCTGTGTTTTGATTCAGTTAGCTCATGGATGATTTGTGTCTCAGTCCCAATTTCTCCCTTATGCTCCACATGCCTTGACCACCTCAACTAAAAAGCAGAACTTACTGCAGTTTGTGGAAATAATTTCATATTTATTAAATGCTCTTTATATGTAAAAAACGCTTTGCAAGTTTACCCTTAACAAACTGGCTATCTATGCTTCCTTGTTCTTAATTTTCACCGCTAGAGGAACTAGATTCCCTGATATGTATTCCACTTGAACACCTCCATTAGTTTCTGCTTTATGATCTTTGTCAGTCATGAATTGGTGAAAAACTGAAGCTGCTAGATTGCCACTTGCATCATTAAACAATCATTAAGCTGAAGTATGGAGTGGTTATTCCCATTGGAAGATTTTAATCAGTTGTGATTCTTTACAAACAGATTGAGAGGTAATGTATATCTTTCTTAGTATAAAGGCATTTGAAAGGTTAGAAAATTGGAAGCATTTCTGCTTGTGATAATTCAAAACTAGAGGTTAAAGCAACATTTTTGCTGATAGGAAAGTTGTGTTGGGAAGAGGACTTTATGGAACAAAACTACCAGCACAGACCAATTGGACTGATTGAACTGTTGCTGTGTAGTTAATTCCAGGTACACTTTATCCCTGATATCAGTCTCCTACCTTCAAACCAATTGTTAGCTACAGTTCTCTGCATTTTCCTACAGTCTCTAATGCCTCCATAAAGCTGGCATCTGTAGATGACATTAATCATTGTTGTGATCTCAAAGAAAATTGAGTAGGTTTAGTCAGATGTAACCTATTCTTCAATCCGTGTTCAGTCTGATCAGTTCAGTTGTCTAAATTTTAAGCCACTTTGCCATTGATTATCATAAATTATGGTGAAACAACTAGAGTAATGACGACAGTCTGTGGCAATCTTGTGCCTCCCTCTTCTAATGGCGAGGTAGTTAAAATTGTCTAACTCAACTGCTCCATTTCTAAATGGAAGGTTGTTTTTGGGAAAATGATGATTTCTATACTCTCAATTTCCTCATTACCTGCTTGCAGTACCTTGGAGCTCAGGCAGTTCAGACCTGGATATATCTCTGAAATCTCATTACTTTCTGCATAATTATTTAATTTGTATAGTGAAAATAACATTATTTCTCCTTGCTTTATTTTCAGTTTTCCAATCTACCTTTGATATTTTACTGTCGACTTCATAACTGTTGTAACAGTAATTCGAAAGTTTTGATTAGTTAAACATTTTGGAATCTGGCTATCTTTGAAGTCCTGCAACCTTTTATGCTACAGTCTGGAGCATATTTCATGTAGCCTAGTGGTTATTTGTGTGTGCATCCATTTCACCGGCCTTTGTCCTACTTTGTGATGCTGCATTTCTGAAAACATTGTCTTGACTTGTGTTGCGTACTTTGCCTGCTCCTTGTTTTACACTGCAATAAAAGAATGCATGACACATTGCCATTTTGTATGCATCAGTTTAAAAAAAAATTCACAAAGTGGAGCTCTTCTACCAATGGAGAGTGCCTGATTTCTACCTTGATTGTAATGTAGAGATTGTAATTTGGAGTTCTGTGCTTGAATTGCTCAATGAAAGAATTCAGCATACCGAAGAGTGAGCTCTGAACTAAAGAGTAAAGTTAATTTTAAACAAAAAAAGATAAATGACAATGGCTTTGAAGCATTCCTCTCCAAAGTTAATGAATTTGTCTTGCTAGATCTAACGTATCTGTTGCTCAGTTTTCATGCAATCATTGTATCAGATATAGCTTTTAATGTACTAAATTGTCCTCTACTTTTGAGCTTAAAGTAATTGTCTTATGTTTTTCAGTTTCAGCCACTACCTTGTCCAAGCGTCAGCGGGATGATGATGATGAGACTAATGCAGATAATGTAGGTCATGGTCAGGACGAATCTCTGGAGCATCAGTCAAAGAAATTGAGAGTTGTTAGAGTGGTACGTGAAGCATTTTTTTTCTCCTAACAACATGTCAATGGACAGCAGTGTAAAGGGGCGGAGCTCCGAATTGCTGTATATGGTTAGTAGTATTCTCAACCTTCAACAACGTAAGCTTTTGACTGCAGATGTGAATCACTTGTATGAACCAGGGGAAAGCTGTATATCTCAGTTTGGAGGTAAGTCAGCTGGAAAACTGACACATGAATTTTATGTAGGGAAAACGTGAAATCATCCATGCTGGATGAGAGGCAGGTTTTATGAAAGGTGAGAAACTGAAGGAGATTTACATGACATGGTATACAATTTCAGATATTAAAATCCAGGGCTTGGACACTTAAAAGCAATCAGTCAGAGAAGGGTCATTGCTGGGATGTGTGTCTTTTCAAGAATGAGAGGTGATCATTTTGAGGTAAGATAATGTGGGTATTTGCTTAGGTACATGCTAGGAAGGGGTTTACTCTTTCAGGGAGAGTAGAACTAGGGAATGTGGTGGATAAGAGGCCTCTATCTTTGAAGACTGAAATGGTGTTTTTTTTCCTCTGAAGATCATTAGTCTGTGGAATTCTCCTTCCCAGAAATGAGTGAAACTTGAAATTAATTCAAAGCAGCATTACATTTTTTTGGTAAGCCAGGGAGTCAGAAGGATGGAGTTGAGACCTGGACCAGATCATCTTGATTGAAAGGTAGAGGAGGATTGAAGGGCTGAGTGGCCTACTTCTGCACCGGAGTCCTGTGTTCCTGTCTGGCGTTGCCCTTCACCTCAGGAGATTTGAAAAGTGACAATCTGGTACTTCACTTATACCAAACTTCTTAGGAAATATTTATTGTGGCCAAATAGGTGTTTACAAAATAATAGCATGTAGTAGAGTGAATTTTTGAGTATACTTCCTATTTGTGGGAGAGAGGGGCAAGAACCAGGTTGTTCAGGATTGCAGTCACAGCACTTGCACTCTTCCAGATTTTCACTTCTCTCCATCTCCCTCAAAAAGGATTTGATGTTGAGTCAATTTAAAATGTTCAAGACAATATTTTTTAGTTCCATGAAAGTTTCAAGGGACTTGTAGCAAAGATGAGTAAATAGATTTGAGGTGCTAATTGGCAATGATCTGATTTAATTATATGCTGGAATGTGCTCAGGGGCGCTATCTTTGTTCCAAAATTTAAATTCTACGTTTTAATGGGCAGCTTGTAGCTGTGAAAAGTTCCCAAGATCCCCTCTATAATCGCATTGGAAAAACTTCTACAGTTGAAAACAGTTTGGAGATGTCAAGTGTTCTGCTTTCTCTAAGGCTCTTGCCCTACCTCCTGAGCCAGAAGACCTGCATTCCAGAGCTGTATAATTGTATCATAATTGTATCTATGAATAGGTTGATTTGAAAATATTGTTGACATGTATATGATGGCTCAAAACAGCATCTCGCTCTCGCTCTCTCGCTCTCGCGTGCGCTCGCTCGCTCGCTCTCTCTCTCTCTCGCTCTCTTTTCCCCCCCTCCCCCCCCCCCCCCCCCCACCCAAGCCAAACCACCACGCTTGTGGCTACAATAAACAGTTTTTCCAATAGTAGCCCTTTGTAAGGATCAAATCATTAACTTTGTATAATTTCGTCGTTCCTTAATTTGTTTTATTTCATTGTCCAGATCAGGTTGATGATTTAAGGTGTGTTATGCTGTGCTTATGCTATTCAGTTCGTCTAAAACAAAAGCTGTCTCTAACATTGTATCAGTTTGCAGTTCTGCTAAATTTCAGATAACTCCTGTGTATTACATAAACAGAATAATCATGTGTGCCCATTTTTGCCCTAAGTTTCTCATCTTGGCTGCATTTTGTACAGCTGTGGAGAAAGGCAAGACTGAGGAACTTCTATTCCAGTCCAATATGATCTTATGCATGTTGTGTATCTGGTCACAGCATAACATCAGTGCTTGCTATGAAAACTGTACGCTACATTTTTCAAACTTAACGCTGCAAATAAAACACAAAGATGTAAAAGGCAGAAGTGAGATGAATTTTAAATCCTCCTGATAACTGTCTGGCAACACCATTACCACAGGGAATAGTCATCTCGGAAGGCTAGTTGCCACCTTCACAGGATAGTCAACCATGGAATAAATCGATGCCCTTTATGTTGCCCTTGCTGCAATACCATCTGTTTCTTGTAGTTCCTGCTGTAGACTTGTTCAGTGTGAATATTTTCTGAACTATGTCGCACTTTGTAGAACTAATTTTCATTATATTTGCACTATTGAAAGCAGTAGGACTAAAATTTGTTTTGTAACTTTAGGAAGAACATTTGCAGGAGGTGGAAGAAAGTGCAGAAACAGACACAGAAATGCAGGTGCAGCCAGAGAACCTGGATTCACAAGACTCTATCTCTCAGGTTAGTTGATTGTTAATGATTGACATTATACTATTTAAATTTAATTTTGTGTGTATGTGTACCATATCACTATGTCCAGGAGTTGGGGACTTCGTGCTACCTTGAAATCAAACAAGGTGAATGTAGAATTGCACTGGTGCTGAAAAGAGGCAATGAAGAAAGAGCAAGAACTGAACAAACAGCAAACTATGTGTCAGAGCGAATGGGTGGCGGTGATATGCTTCATAGATCAGCTGATGAAGGCTAGACCTGGAACAACATCTTTTAATGATTATTTCTAAAGTTAGACATGGCAGTCATGGACGACATTAGCAACAACAAATTTCTATTTGTTTATTTACTGTAGAGGTGAGTCCCTACTCTGTGCCCACTGTCTACATGCAGTTGAATACAAATAGTACACAATAATCAAGTAGGTGATTACCACCAGGAAAGGTAGGAGAGGGAGGCAGGTTGTGCAGGAGTCAGAGGAGGGAGAAAGCTGACATTTCTCTTATGGCTATCCCCACCTCAAACAAGTATGCCGTTTTGGAAAACAGTGTTGATGGACTCTCAGGGGAAAGTAGCACAGACAGCCAGGTTTCTGGCACCGAGACTGGCTGGCTCTACTGTAACAAAGGGTATGCCGGGTTCCAAGTGATTGATTGTGATAGGGGACTGTCTAGACAATCATTTCTGCGGCTGACAGCAAGACATCAGAATAGTGTGCTGCCTCCCTGGTGCCAGGATCAAGAATATCTCTGAGGTGTAGAATATTCCCAATATTTTTCCAAACCATGCCCTAAGTTCATCGGCCTTACTAGTCAGGCCTCTTGCATTGAAACAAATGCAGTTTAATTTCCGTCATAGCTCATTCTCTGATTTGTTCCTGCCTGCCCTGACTGTTTGACTTGTTCCTTTTCCCAAAGTGGGCAGGGACCAGCAGGAGGTCATTAGTTCCAATGTGTACAATGACATAGGAAGAGAAAAGGACAAGATTCTGAGGAGAGAATATGGGAAGTTAGGCAGGAGTTTAAAAAGGAGGCCCTCAAACAGTAATAACTGGATTACCCCTGGTGCTGCGAGCGAGTAAGAGTAGGAATCGGAGGATGGGGCAGATGAATGCGTGGCTGAGGAGCTGTTGCAGGGGTGAAGGATTCACATTTTTGGATCACTGGAATCTCTTCACGGTAGAAATGACCTGTGCAAGAAGGACAAATTGGAAAGGGACTAAAATACTGATGGAGATTTGGTAGAGCTGCTTGGGAGGATTTAAACTAGTGAGGAAAGAGATCAGTCTGAGACTGGAACAGATAGGAAAAGGAACAAGTCAAACAGTCAGGGCAGGCAGGAACAAATCAGAGAATGAGCTATGACGGAAATTAAACTGCATTTGTTTCAATGCAAGAGGCCTGACTAGTAAGGCCGATGAACTTAGGGCATGGTTTGGAAAATGGGACTGGGACATCATAGTGATTATGGAAGCTTGGCTCAGGGATGGACAAAACTGGCAGCTTCATGTTTGAGGGTATAGATGCTATAGGAAGGATAGAAAGGGGGGCAAGAGGATAGGGTAGTGGCATTTTTGATTAGAGATAACATTACGGCTGTACTTGGAGGATATGCCTGGGAATACTTCCAGGGAAATTATTTGGGTGGAACTGAGAAATAAGAAAGGGATGATCACCTTTTTCGGATTGTAGGTACCTAAGAAACAACTGTTTCACGCAGAGGATGCTGTGTGAATGGAATAAGCTGCCAGACGAAGTGGTGAAGTCTGGTACAATTACAACATTTAGAAGGCATCTGGATGGGTATATGAAAGGAGTGGTTTAGAGGGATATGGGCCAAATGCTGACAAATGGGACTAGACTTAGCTAGGTTATCGGGTCAGCATGGATGAGTTGGACCGAAGAGTCTGTTTCCATGTTGTACATCTCTATGGCCATGACTCAAAATTCGTTTGGAGCGGGAGTAGACTTCCAGCCCCTTGAACCTGCATCCCCATTCAGTAAGGCTGTGGCTGATCTCTTACTCCACATTCCTGCCTTCTGATGACCTTTCACTGCCTTTGCGTGTTAAAAATGTCTCTGTTTCTGCCAAAATGGTCTCTGCTTCTATCTTTTGACTAAGCATTCCAAAGATATTCAGCCCTCTTTCAAAAAAAAAACCAATTCCCTTGCCTCTGCCTTAAATGGATCTCCTGTTGTGAAACAGTGACCCCTGGTTCTAGATTCTCCCACAAGTGCGCCAATTCTTTCTGCATGGATCCTGTCATGCCTTTGTTTCTATAATCCAGGTGTGGCATTATGGAGGATGGTCGGAAACAGAAGTAAGTTGAGCAAAATTGGAGACCAGGATTAAAATGGTAAATTGAGAGGCCACACTGTTGATATTAGCATTCAAGTGCTTAATAAGAGAAAAATACTACAGCTGCTGAAAATCTGAAAGAACAAAAAAGGCGGGAAATGTTCAGGATGCACAGCCTTTGGAGAGAAACTTCAATTTTGCAGATTCATATGTTTATATGAAAGAATGCAGAGGTTCTATTATTTCATGTAAAAATTCAAGCACAATTCACATGGCAAAGTAAAAATGTATATTGGTCATCATTGGAGATATTTGTTGATTTAAGTCTGTATTTAAATATAGTGTGCAACACTGGTGCTGACCAGAAGGATGTCAATGCATAAGTGGCAAATAAGAGCAATTGCTTCATATGGCAGACTAACCCAGTAACTGACCAGTCTTTTAACAAATGCTGGTGAGGAAGAATTATTGTAACAGCCATACTGCAGCTAGGTAGCAAGAGCTTGTATGTGATCGGAGCTAATGCTGCTCACCTATTGGATAAGTATTTTGGGACTGAGGCCCTGGACAAGTCTGATGGAAGGGCAGTGAACAGTACTTGACTTTGAGTCTCTGCTCCTATGATGCTGCTTGGCCTGCTGTGTTCATCCAGCCCTGCACCTTGTTGTCTCGGATTCTCCAGCATCTGCAGTTCCTACTATCTCTGCTTTTTGTGAAATGTTTTTCGTGTAGCGCCATCATGTGGTGACTTATAAATACTACTAGTGTAGGTGACAAAGTTGTATGTCACTACTTCAAGCCACAGTAATGTTATGTGCACAAGACAGTGTCATGAGAATCTTTAGATCATTTTTAAACCTAGTTTTCTGAGCTTAAAAGACCTCTGTATTCTAGGGTTTGAATAATATCATGTGGAAGGGATTTGTGTGGAAAATTAGCTTCAGGTTACTTCATGCTTTTATTACCTGGAATCTTTATTGCTCTTCACATGAAGCTGTTCATGGTAACTGCTCAAAGTTTAATTTTTCAGGAGTATGCACACTCCGTTTTAATGATCCTGACTGCATTCAGGATTTAACAAACATTTACATTGTACTTGATTTGTATCCTCCCTTGATAGCTGTCTAAGAAATAGCTTTTTAAAACTGTTGACAACTTTCACAATTGCTGCTTCCAATCTATTGTTTTGAAAAGTAGTGCACTTTTTGTATAGAACTATTGAAGAAACTTCATAAACTCTTGATGCTTCCTGAGCAAAACAATTGATAACTCTACATCATATGGTCGTGAAATGGTTAAGAAAATGACGTAGTGCACACAGGCAATAATCTAAAACTAAAAACCTTCACTTGGCTAAATTCCTTGTAATTTAACTGTTAAACAAATTATGGCTTGAATTTGTACTTTTGTTTGGATATCCCACGGGAGTGTGCCACTGAAAGAATGGAAGAAGCATCACCATCACTTGCGCTTTAGATACCTTGTCACTCCTTGACCTATTTAACACCCTTACTACTTCCACCAATAAATGACAAAACTATTTGAAGCTGCATTCCTCACTAATATGGGATAAGGGCAGGTAGTTATGATGTGACTTGTTGCTTCCTCTTGTTAAGACGGCAAAGCATGGCTCCTTGACAGTGAGGTCTTAGGACTGTAAGGGCGAGGAGTCACCAGCTTAATTCAGCTTCATTGACTAATTCTTTGGAAAGCAACACATTAGGAAATGATGTATGATTTCCTGTCGCCAACAAGGAGCAGTAAGCAGGGAAAATGTGTGATGGTGAAATTTGCAGCAAGAGCTTTGAGAGGTAGATCTCAACTTGGAAACCTGAATGCTGGTTAGAAAATGTTCAGCAGTATCACTATGGTTTATGAAGTTTTTTTGTTCTGTAAGAGTTAGGGAAAATGTTAAACTCTGCAACCATTTTAGGGTATGTGCGTTGTGTGTGTGTGTTTTTTCTGTACAGAAGAAAATTTGCATTGACCTAATCTCTCTCGTAACAGGAAGATGGCAATATCACTACAATAAAGCAACTTTGTAATTGGACAGAGTTTTGGTGAGATCATACCTGGAATAGTAACTGCTTGTGTCTTCGCTATGAAAGGACAGGGAGGCAATACGGTGAAGTTTCATTAAATAATGTAATCCACTTAATGGGCTCTGTGATGAGGAGCTGAGTAAATTGGGCCTGCACTCTGGTGTTTGGAGAAAATGAGACATGACCCCATTGTAAAGACTTTGGAGGTTATTTAACAGGTTAGACATTGAGGTCAAATGAAGCAGGAAAGTGGCTTTGAGGCAGAGCGTCAGCTGTGATCATATTAACTGACTGAGCAGACTTGAGGGAGCACATAAACTAATCTTTTATTTCTGGTTACATCATTTCCCCGAGATACTTTGCCGATAAGCTACTGGCAAAATGCATGTGAGCAATCTTATCAAAGACTCTGGTGACATTTGTTACGTCCCTCACCTTTTTGTTATATATTGAGATTTTAGGGCAGTGGTTTTGTGAGATACAGAATCTATTTACATCGATGACTATTCCACTGTATCTGAGAAACATTCCCTGTAATGTTTCTTTGCATGCAGCCTTTTGCTTACTTGGAATATTCCCAGATTGCTGCATGACAATACAAAATGTGTCCTGAGAGTTTACAGCGCAACAGAAATTTGTAACCATTGCTTTATTTCATTGAACAATGTTTGTCAGCTG